GCAGAATAGAGAATCTTGTTTTGAGCCATCTCTGTTTCTCTTGCAACAGCTTCAGTTTGAGTTGGAGCATTCAATGTTGGAGCGATCGCATTGAAGTCGATCGACTTTCCATCTCGAATTGATTTCACCATGTCTTCGGAACATTTCATTCCAGAAGCTTGGATGTAGTCAATCACTATTTCTTCGGCATCTTCGTACGACAATCTTGCCTTTCCATCGTTTTCATCTTTCGTTGAAAATAGATGTTTCATAACTGTTGAACTTGAATTGCTCTTAACTTTCTGAGGAGTCACACGTCCTCTTCCTCCACCGGATGAAGAACGTCCCATAGTCAACGAATCACTCACTCCTTTGTAGATAAGGCAGTGCTGTTCTTGACGTATATTTGTTTTGTTGACTTTTGTGATTGAATGTTAGAATAATGTAAAATGTGCTCTATTGTGAGTGCCTTTAGCGCTCAGAACAAACTCTCTGCAATCTAAATTTGTAATCGACTATACAACACTTTCACGACAATAGTTCTCCTGTGTTAGGTATACTTTGAGTGAAATTGTTCCTATTTGATTAATGTCTGGCTTGAATTGATGATTCAATCACAAAAGTGAGTTCAACGATTTTCCCTTGGAAAATCCCTTGTTTACAGAACTCGATTCGACTTCTACAAGGATTCTGTGTTGAATGCAGTACTTTGGGACATCTTGTATTATTCCCTACTGCATCGTACACAACATCAATATTCCACTTGTATAGGGTCTTTCCCTTTTTGTGTGGATATAGATTGTCCAGCAGACTTGCGTCAAATCCTGACATCTGTTAGATATTATATGCGGTGTAATATTTGACTGAGGTTTTTGAGATTCCAGATTCCTTGGTGAAAGTGAATTGACACGATGACCAACCAATAACGTAGTGAAAAGAATAGTTCATTCTTTTCAGTAAACCATCTAGATTGATTGTTGTTGCAACTTTGATTGAGTGCAGAATAGTTGATACTATAGTTATGGAACTGAAGTAGATAGTCATCAGTGCATGCAGACCTGATTGGTCACATGGACAATGCAGAGTTAATGACTCGCATCTGAATGATTATTTTGAAGATAGTCGTCCTATTTTCTATTCTTAACAGACATCACATCACGATCAAAGTCCGATCGCAGTGTCGAAAACTTTGTACTTGAATAGTTTCGTTTGGAACGTAAAAACTCATATTTCGTCATATCCCAACACAGAGAGCTTGAAACTCAATCCTGAAGCATACCCAACTCTCAACACTGATGAAGAGTGGGACAGCTTCCATCGAACCTTTAGTTCCACTGCACGTGTCCATAACATACTGAACGTATTGGATCACTCCTATGTGCCCAAATCTGTGGACAAACTGGACCTCTTCCAGAAACAGCAGGTCTTCATGTACACCATCTTCCTCCACAAGTTGCAGACAAACACTGGTAAATCTTTGGTGCAAAAGTACCAAGAGACCTTCAACGCCCAGCAGATCTGGGCTGAGCTCTCCAACCATTGTACTACATATGCAGTGGCCAAAACGCAAGCTAGTGATTTGATGACTTGGTTGACTACCCAGAGACTCGTCAAATTGGACTGGACCGGCAAACATTATGCCTTTGTCCTCTATTGGCTGGAGCAAGCTCGTACCTACAACGAACTCGCTACTGACAAAATGGCCGACTCACAGCTTTGTATCCTACTTTGGAATGACAGCTCAAGACTAATTCTAGACTCTTGTCCGCGCAGACCGGTAAGTGGTTGACCTACCTCCAGTACATTGAGCTTGTCAAACAAGCGGCTCTGCAACATGATAAAGCCATGGAAGGAAAGACCATTGCCTCTGGCAATCGTCAAGCACTGCTCCACGATAGCTACAATCAAGATAACGATTATATAGATGATTCTGTTACTCCTGATTTTGCCGCTGACACAAGCATCTATGTAAGTACTTTATACAGGGAGAAATCCGGGGATTGATTCATTCCCACTGCCTCAGTTTTCATTTTTCAAATTTTTAAGCAACATCGACGAAACACAAAGTTTTATCGTATCCAACATGAGAATACGTAGGGCAAAAGTAAAGACACAGCCTTGTAATCTGTTTCGGATGTTGTGTCTTGCAATTATTGCCATTATTGCTCTGCTTGTGATGGAATTCGTTTCTGAAGCAGATACGCCAGTATTGCATTTCGAATGGGGATCAACACCAGATGATTCTAGTACACAGATGGATTTGTTGTCTTCAAAAAAGTCTTGGTGTGATCGAATAGCTACTGCTAGGTCTGGCTTAGACGCTAGGCTACAGATATCTTATCCATGCGAAGACATGGAAACTGCAACCTCTGCAGTTGTCTGTATGTTGACCGCAGGTGTTGAAAGTGAGAAGAAAGCCACTCGAGTTGTCTTTACGGCTCGAAACTACATCGAAGGAGCTATGGCTTTGGGCCAGTCTGTTAACAGTAATATCGACACATCAAAGACGCACATGCTACTGCTTGTTCGCGAGGGCTTCTTCCTCGATCCAGATGACGCAAGAAGTTTGGAGGCTGTCGGATGGATCATCGGAACAGCTCCTGACTTCCATCTCCCAAAGCAATATATACCGCGATTTCCCCGCTACAAAACTACATATACAAAAGTTACAGCGATTGGTCTTGCGGAATACGAATGTGCAATGCTGTTAGATGCTGACGCTCTTGTTGTTGATGATATTCGTGAGTTGATGAAATGCAAAGTATTTTCTCAAGAACAACATCGGGTCGCCGCAACTCTCGATTACTTTCGTCATTCATGGTATTATTTCAACACCGGGAGTATATTGTGGAGGACGGGTGTCGAGGAAATGAATCGCGTCTTTCAGCTGTCAAGGGATGGGAAATTTATGAAGCGCTTCTCAAGTGATCAAGAGTTTTTGAATCATGTTTATCCGGATCGTATGAACAAACGATTAAATAACGACATCGTCGCCGGAAAATTAGATGAAGCGAACAATGGCGCTGTTGTTGCTCTGAGTTGGGATTATAATGCACAGACTCATGTGGAAGTTGAAAATACCAACTTTTGGAAAAGACATCGATCAGCGGTGAAAGTGCTACACTTCACCGAGAAGAAAGGTTGGCAGTGTGAAGAACGCTACAATGATCCGATTCCATGGGAAGAGATGCCGCATCCTTGCGACAAAAAAAATGCTATCTGCTTTTGTCGAGAAGCTCATTTGTACTGGAGAGCATTTCGTGATGCGAAAGACCGCGGGAAGATAATAACTGTGTAGGAACAAGGATATGATCTGCCGAAGAAGCATACAGTAGCTGGTGGCTAAAAACCAATCAGTTGTTGAAAAAAAGTACGACGTTCTCGTGGTAGGAACTAGTGATTTCAAGAGGCCACCGGTTGGCATCAATTTGGATCTGTTGGCGGGGTAACAGGGCGTCGTTGGCCGAAGATTCTCAAAGCAGGTAAGTGATCATTTGCTTGATCACAAATCACCAGTCCTCAACAACAGAGAAGTCCGCGCAGCTATGGTATTGCATAAAGCCAGATATCGACGCTAACAATCGGAATCATTACAACAAAACAAGAAAATTCGAGAAGCACTACCGAATACTAATTATTTCATTAACGTTAACTTGAGGCCAACATTGAGGACAACCCAATATTCGGCGCCAAACTGGAGGCCAGACCACTATTTCTTCTTTTTCTTTCCGACTGCCAGCCCAGCACTCAATAGATCATCCAAAGTTTCCGATTGTTTCTTTCCTTTCTTTCGTGGAACAGGTATATTTGCATTTTGGTCGAGCGGTTCAGCAAGCTGTTTTGCTTTCTTGGCTTCTAACTTTGCGAGAAGAGCAGCCTTGTCATCAGCATTTCTCTGTTGAGGTGTACCTTCTCGTTGCGTCACATTGTTTTTCGAAGCTTCCCTGGCTTGACGTTTCTGCCGATCACGATCCCTCTGGTCTCCACGGCTCATGATTTCTCCTTCTATTGCCTCGACTTCAGATCAATTTTTTTTCAAACTAGACCAGCTCCTGCTTGAAGCATGCAGCTTTTATTGACTTCCTTCATGTCGCTACAGTGCTGTACACTGTACATACTTTTCGTGAATCATGTTAGTCCAAGGAGTCGAAAGGCTTTTCACGCGCTGTTGAGGTACAGATTAGGACAGACAGATATCATCATCCGTTATTAAAAGGATCGCCTTTTGGCCGAGTGACCAGGAACACCCGGCAGATCGATGACTTTAGAATTCCTTCTCGCGAAATGACTCATAAACGAAGAAGACATTTCTCATATATATGAACATCTTGTCGTGCATAAATAGTTGAGAACCAAAAGGGACATTTTTTCGATTCTTTAGTCAGCAATTTTTCATATATATAAAAAGGCACACCTGACATCTTGGTGGAAAAACTGCTTTTAGGTCGCGACTCATCACTTTTACAAAATTATTCGTTCCGAGTGAAAACTGGTACTCGTAATTACTCGCTTTGCAATGTGAGTTATTTCTCGTTTTGGTGGCTTCTCATCGTTTTGGTGGCTTCTCATCGTTTCTTGGTGTCCCACACAAATATCCCCCGTACTGTTTAGTCCTACCCCCCATTATCTTTATTAGCGATGTTTTATCGCCAATCATGTCTGGTGACAAAACCAAGCTGTTTGAGAGAGAAAAAAACTTCGTTTTGTCTTTTGTGTCGTTGATGATTACCGGTATTATTTGTTGTGAGATTTATTCAGCGAGCCTGATTCGCCAAAGTCCCAGATGTGAAGAATGCCCAAAGATTCACCCCCCCCCCCCCCAAAATACTCACTTTTGGTTGCTTCTCATCGCTTTGGTCGCTTCTCATCGCTTTGGGAAACGAGTAATTTCCATTCGGAACGAGTAATTTCCATTCGGAACGAGTAATTTCCATTTGGAACGAGCACTTTTCATTCGGAACGAGCAGAAACCTTATTTTGCTCATTTCTGATCGCGTTGTGGTCGCTTCTCATCGCTTTGGTCGCTTCTCATCGTACCAATCATATTTGGTCATCATTAGCTTCTGCTCTTAAGTATGAGTTATTCTTCTTATTCCACGTGATCATATGGATTTCGAAATGACTGTGGAAGGTCTGTCCGCCCTTCGAACAATGACAAAAATCCTCGTTCTGCCGGGTGTTCCAGATTCTGCGTTGTCAGGAACACCCGTCGTAGTGGGGGAGGTGGACGGAGCGAAGAACAAAGTGACTATTGAACGAGCGCGGTGCGCGCAGCAGAGATCCCGCAGCGAGTCCTCAACAACAGCAATCGCATATTCTTGTCCTTTCTCCTTCCTAACGCATCAGGATCGAAGTTGTAAGACACGTCAATGTTGACTAGGCATAGAATAGAAAAAGTTTCAAGTAATCATGGCCGCGGCAACAGCACCAACGGCGCCGACTGTGGCAGCGCCAACAGCACCCGCAGCTGCACCAGCAGCACCAACACCACATCTGACCGCTTACCATGAATTTTTTGGCAACACCACTTTGGACCCCCATCAACAAGACTACCAAGCGCTCATGCGAGCCTACAGAGTTTACGACACTCCTACACCTGCTCAATTGTTGTACAACAGCGCCGGACTGTCTACCTCCGCTTATCCCATGGCCTACCTGTCGCTCATCAATGACAATGGGAATTTGTTCTACCTATTGGTCCATGCACCAGCCTTCTACAAGTCACTGCCTGGGGTCCCAAGCCGCTGCGATGGAAAGGCCTACGCGTTCACCGGCGATGTGGTTGCCAACACCATCACCACTGTAGAATTTCCACAGGACGCCTTTATGTCGCCAGGAACTGGAACAGAGGAAAACGTCCCGAAGGATCTGGAGCGAGCTCTGGACATTCTCCAGCTCAATCCGGACGACTCCTCCATTGGACCTTTCCAGGACACGGATGCCAACATCAAGCAAGTGAAGACCTGTCACTACATCCCTTTGCCGCACTGATATGTGCATCTGGTTCTGGGACGCCAAGTTCCAGTTCGGAAGGGTTTCATCGACTTGGCAGCAGCCATCAAAAACACTGGAGACAAAATTGAGTGCCCCGAGCTCACCGATTGGCTACTACTGTCACTGGTTAGAGCAGGAGCGGGCGCTCCACCAACTCTTGCAACAACATTGTCTGATAGACCTTTCGATGATGCAGCGCTCAAGGTGCAACGCCGAGAGCTGTTGGAACAGCATCTTCCAGGCCTGAAGGAAGCTTCACTTCCGTCCATGCTAGGAATTCAGCAGAGCCTGGCACAATCAGTCAACAAACTGGTCAGAACCCAAAAGGACGCCCAGACCGAAGCGACAGCACGAGAAGCCAAGGCCAAAGCCCTCAGGAGTGTGGACGAATTCTTTGGTCCCATGCTCCACAAGCTCCTCAGCGTTCTTCTCCACGTCCAAGACACTAGCCAGTGCCCACCTGTCTGGTCCGAATGGGCTTCTCAGCCCAAGAAAGCCGACCTCAACGTTTTGGAAACCGCCCTCAGGTCCCAAGCAAGCAGCGAAGCGACAGGGGGATTCGGAATTGTACCCATTGTCACTCCGGACTTGTATATATATATATAACTGAATCATTAATTGGTATTATGCTACTTCTAGAGTATCCAACTGCCGGTGTAATACGGCTGTAGAGGCCAGGAACTAGGTTGCTTTTGGTCAACAAAGTTTGAACCACG